AAAAATATAGCATCTGGGGTCTTAAAGGCTTGAAGATAAACAAGTGGCCATCTAGCTGAGAAGCATCAAAACCCACATGGAAGAAGCACACCAGCCTATCTGATCACGAGGTGTAGAAGGGACCAGTTATCAGACATCAAAGAACTAAAAATCATATCAGTGGTTGCCCACCTCCCTGATACAATCACTGAAGACAAAGGTGTGCATAAGCAAATGTGGTGAAGAAAGCTGATGGTGCCCGGCTATCAAAAATATAGAGTCTGGGGTCTCAAAGCTTGAAGATAAACAAGCAGCCATCTAGCTCAGAAGCAACAACGCCCACATGGAAGAAGCACACCAGCCTGTGTGACCATGAGGTGTCAAAGAGATCAGGTATCACGCATCAAAGAATAAAAAATCATATCATTTTAAATGTGGGTGAGTGCAGAGTGGAGACTCAAAGCCCATCGGTAGGCAACTGGACACCCCCTTACTGAAAGGTTTTGGGGAGGAGATGAGCCAGTCAGGGTGCAGGGTAGCAATGATGAAACATATAACTTTCCTCTACTTCTTAAATGCTTCCTCCCAGCCCCACCTCCCCCGCCCCGCCACACACACAAGGTGTTTTAGTAATGGGTGCAGAGTCTGGGTTAAGTACCATGGCTCCCAGCACGTGTTAACCACTCCAGGATCCTTGAGGGAGAAGGGGGTGGGAGCAGTCTATAAATACGAAGCTTCACGGTTACCCTTAGTTACTTCACATATTCAGAGCATAATGCAATCTGTCTCAAGTCCCATGTTTTATTTCTGTAGTGGATTCTGCTGTCCTATTTTATATGTTGTATATCATAATCCGTTAAGTTGCTCTACTATTTTTTAAGAGAGATTGTTCCATTATCAATTTTACTTTTCTTGAAAAATGGAAGTGGGTGATCATGGGAAGGAAAGCCTGCTGGTAGAATCTGTATTGTATCTGCACACGAGCACGCTGTCTTGTGAAACTGTCGACCGAATAAGTGTACAAATTCATGGGGATCGGGTTTGACTCCTGAGATTCATATAGGCATAAAATATCTTTGGAACAATGCTGGGAGGCCTTTTGGGCCATTCTAAGAAATCAGAAAGGGCACAGAGAATGCCCAAAACACATGTTTAGAGTTGAAACTTAAAATGAGTCACATCACTAAGAAAATCCAGAGTGCCGAGATCACTGCCTCCCTCTGGCCCCCTCCACCTCATGAATGTAAAATGTGCTTGTAATCTTAATACTACTCCACACAGAGCAGGGTTTAAATTCACACTTCACAAGACTCCAGGGAAAATAAGTAACTAATGAGTGGTATTTACAGTGGCGGCATCTAAGCGAGCTTTCATTTGCTTTTCTAAAGTTACAATGTAAACTACAAGTAATTAAAAGAAAGGCAGAAAGTTGTTGCTCTGATTAAATTTGATTTGGGCTAAAAATAAATAAATGATGGCTGCAATGGTAGGTGCCATGAATTGCTTCTGGACGGTAGCTGCACATAAGGAGGGGCCATCTATTGTGGAGGCCTGCAGCCTCTGAGGAGCGACCTCAGCAGAGGGGACGTGCTCAGTAAATACAGGTCTGATTCATAAAGAGAGTTAACCCGGGCCCTCCTCGTGATCCCACCCTGTTCCCCAGACCAGAGTATTTCAAAGCCATCTTTCATGACCACACCTTGGTCAGGAGCCTGTTTTTACACTCCTCCCCACCCCTTTATTTCCTCTTACCTATTCTTCCCCCAGTGCCCATCAGTACCACAGTCAGACTATCGCTGGAGGGCCATGTGCCACTGTAAATGCCAAGACTCCATTTTGGGGTCCCACTGACCCTGCTGAAGATACTTATGTCCTAGTACAGAACTATAAATGCTAGCTCTCTTCAGAACAGGTGCCGTTTGAGCTGTTGTTAGTGGCCGCCAAGTCTATTCTGTGGGGCTGCTCAAGGAGCCACCGTGGTGCGCCAGGTTGGGCACTGGGGTGCTAACCTCAAGGACGTTGGAGATTCAAACCTCCCAGGCCCCTCCATGGCCGAGACGAGGTGGTTTGCTCCTATACAGATGTGCAGTCTTAGAGCCCTCCTGCAGCATTTCCCAGTGTGGGTGACACTCACCCCTGGCGGGGGGTGGGGACACCATCAGTCCTGCCAAAGCAGCTGCCCATTCTTCATTCTGGGTTACGGACTATAGTATCACAGTTTTTAATTGGCAAGAGGGTGCGGTGTATTGTTCTTTTAGTCTCCTCCTGAAAAGGGGGCAGTAGGTCAAATAAGATTGGGACACTACCATCTAGAGCAGCAGTTCTCAACCTGTGGGTCACGACCCATTTGGGTGTTGAACTACCCTTTCACAGGGGTCACCTGACTCATAACAGTAGCAAAATGAGTTATGAAGTAGCAATGAAAATGTTATGGTTGGGGGGTCACCACAACATGAGGAATTGTATCAAAGGGTTGCGGCACTAGGAAGGTTGAGAACCACTGATCTATAGGGTCAACTATGGGTCGGAATGGACGGCAGAGAGTTTTGCTTGTTTTATAGGGTTTTCAAGAATGTTTCTTTGTAGCAGTGGATCACAGGCTCATCCCGTGGTGAGTATGGCTGCCACCTTTTTAGCAAGCTGTTGAGCATTTACATGTTTACCCCATCCGAGAATATGCCGTTCTGTAATTACCAGAGTGTCTCTGGGCTTCTAGAACAGGTGGAGCAGGATACTGCTGACCCTATCAACTGTTTTTTTGGTTGTTGGGGGAACACTTTAATGAAGTGATACTGGAGTGTTCTTCTAGACTTGAGAGTAGAGGAGACATGCTGGAAGCCAGGCCTGGCCTTATAAACCCCATTGGGAGGCAACCACTCCAGAGCTTTCGGCCTCCAGAAAGGCTGGTTATACAAGGAGTGGGCGGTGTGTGTCAGGAGACAGGCCATCTGTGTTTTGAACATTTTGTTTGGAACCTAAGGGTTGATCTGAAACACCTACCCAAATTGTTTACTTTGACCGAAGCAAACCAAATCCAGATCCCTCAAACAAAAGAGGGGAACACAGACTTGAAGGGGAGGAGAAATAAAAATGCTCCGCTTTCTCTTTAAACCTGTGAACAATAGAAGGTCATGTGACGCAGTGGCCTATCATCCAACACATTAATAGCTGTGCTAGAGTAATTACACTTGTGGTATTTTTGCCTCAAGTGAAATTCTGAAATAAGAGGATGGAAATTATGATACTGCTGATAAATATTAATAAGTGAACTTTTAATTTTTTTGCCACAATATTCAAAATGCTAAGCATCCTGGCTAATGCTGAAGCAGCCCGATGTGTTTGCCTCCAGGGAGCACGATGCTTTGTGCACTTAAGAAAAAAGTTTAACGGAATTAAACTTTAATATCTAATTAGAGCGAGGCTAATATATTTTGAAATGCGTGGGGGAAGACGTGTGCCTCTGTTGCATATGCGGGCTGGCCATTAATCTTACCTGTAACGCCGCATTGAGAGGTGTGCAGTAGGCGTGGCCGCTCTGCATGTTTTTAATAAGGGAAGGGTTACTGCATAAAAGAAAGATAAAAACTCAGGGTTAAAGGCGATCAACTCTCCGGCTCTGAGCTTCAGTTTTCTTTTCAAGCTTCCTGGTCTCCTTCTCAATCAGAGCGTCCCCCCTCCCCCACCCGCATGTCTAACCCCAAGAAAAGTCAGGCTTGATCCCTCTGTCTGGTCTGTGGGAACACCTCTGGAAACCAAGCTGGCCATTTGTGGAAAGTGGGTGCAAATTTCTGGCTAACTACTAACAGGCTGGGAGTGGGGTCAGCAGGCTGATGGCAGGGCTTCCCAGAACAAGCTGGTGGGATCCAGCCTCTTAAGCATCTTCAGGATTTAAGCTCTAGCATGGCTATGTGAGTAAATGGCAGGGTGACTCTGGAGAAGCACCCCGAAGGCACCGTTTATGACTGGGAATGGGCGTTCCTCGGGACACAGAAAGTTGGAATTCAAGCCGCCGTCTGGTAGATCCCAATAAGGGAGGGTGTCAGGAATATTTGAATGCAGGCAAGATACTGTCTAGACTAGCAAGAGTCAACACACTACACAATCAGGCAGGAGCCCGAAGGAAAGGAGTGGCTTCCAGTAGGAAATTACCTCCACTTATCAGTGGCCTTTAAAGGAAGTATAACGCACTGCTATTAATTTCTTTCCTATGGCTGAAGCATTTTAATCATTTGTTTCATTACATTTACATTATTATGCTGAGCGAGCAACGAAGTTAACCCCATTAAATGCACAGTCTAACTTTAAATAAGAATGTCCCTGTTTCATGTGGAGGAATTGTGGGTCACGCAAAAGTCTTTAGTTTCAGGGTACCCGGAAGCTGCCAAATCGAGACACAATCAATATATGCATTGAAGTTGTCAAAAAAGCATTATTCAAGGCACTGGTGTTCCAAAGAGAAGCGGGAGAATTACATGGACAAATCACACAATTCCATTCCGTTGCAGACAGCCGTGGCACTGCTACATGGTGAAATGCACAACTACAGGGGATGGGTCAACCATGCAAAGCCAAAGCAACAGCAGAAAAAAAACCAAAAGCAAGTAAAGGCTCTTACTGTGTGACAAGCTCGTCAGAGTTTTCATCGGGGCAGTATTTGCGAGGACGGCCTCGTTGAATATGGCGGCCACGTTTAAACTCTTCATCATCAACTGTCCAAAAGGACCCAAACTCATCCTCTACTCTGATAAAGCACTTATGCAGTGAGAGGTTGGTGCGAATGGCACCCTGGGGTAGGAGCAGCAGCAAAGGAGATGAAGTGGCAACAAAAGGAGACGGGGTTGGGGGCAGAACAGACATCCAATACAGGGAACAGGAAAAAGAAAATAAAATGCAATAAGCATAAGCAAATGGTTTGTGAGGGTTAATATGCATTGCCACCTAAAAGCTACTAGCATGTGATGCAACAAAGACCAGCAAGCAGGGCAGGGGGACCGGTGGGCATACAAAACAGGAGGGATGAAATGCTTTTTTGCTTCCCTTAACTGAGACAACGTGAAACCGGTTCATTGGTCTAGCACCGTCTAGCAGCCAAAGCCTCTACGTTATACTTGTTAGCACAATCCAAGCTAGGCTAAGAAGTTCAAACATGGTGGACGTACCCACTGATCTTTTGTGGCCTTCGTTTTTGGAATTCTACTTCATCCACTGTCCATACTGCCCCTTTAACGTTTTCTACTCGCACAAAACACTTGTGAAGGCTAAGATTATGACGCACTGCATTCTGCAGCAAGTATAAAAGAGAAAACATTATATTTTCTATAAGAAAAGACTGCAAAAGCATCAGTAAATTCAGCCTAACAGTGCACATTTGCAAAACCACCCCCAAAGAGCTGGACCTGCCACCCCTGTGGAGGACCTTCTGGTGGTTAGGGGTGTCTCTTCCAAAAGCAAAATTCTAAAAAGCAAAAATAAGGAATTGTACTTTGGCATTTTAGTCTAGTCTTTGGTCATTAACTAAATGGAAAAAAAAATTTTTAATATGCATACTAGCTCCCAAATGGGTTTCACAGCATACACCCAAAATTGTTAACAGAACTTCAAAATAAGGAAACACGTAACGAATAAAAAACTGTTCCTCTCTGAAGTCATAAAAATTGGGTACTTTTTCCAAATATGAAAGATGACAACTTGGTTAACATTGTTAAATGCAGTTTGGGGTTATGAAACCTTCTGTGGCTTTCTCTGATTAAGGCTAATCCCAAAAAAGGACTTTTACCATTGAGAGTATCACCTGTGAGATTGATCCCAAGTGGAACATCAGGCTGTCACATTTCCCAGAGCTGATGTAAAAGTTAGCCGTACTCTTTTTTTTTTTTTTTTTTGAGATGAACTTGTTTGTCACTAAATACTCCAAAGTCCATTCCCATTTTATTTGCCCTTACTCCTGGAAGACATCTGCACTGAATAAATCCCAAAGGAGCACATGGGAAGAACTCTCCAAGACAAAATGATGGTAACGCTGTCACTGATGGTTTCGACTGATAGGTGTTTCTTTCCTACAGTTAACCCTCACTTCTGGTGAGACCTTTGACGATGCATCAGAAAGGAGGACCTGCGGGGAAGGGTGAGGAACTTCTGAACACCTGACTTTTCTTTTGAGTTTCAGGAAAATCCACAACACTTACTAGGGATGGTAATAAGCATGACATCATTTCTTTAGGTCTCCTGGTGGAGCGTACTGGCCAAGACTAAACATGGGATGTGAGGGCACTCCCACTAGACTGGTGGCCTTTTACTGATAACTCTGATTATAATAAGTAAGTAGGGGTCTTTCTCTAGGGGGGAGGTCACACCCATCACCCCTTCCATCTCCCACCACCTGCAGCACGCACTCCCTTAAAGGAGGCCAATTCGGATATTTTGAAAAGTGCTTCTGACAGCTGCTGACTCTGGAGGGGTCAAGTTTACTAAGTCTTTGGGAGGACACACTTCTATGTGAAGTCTAGCCTGGCCTTTAATAAGTATTTATTTTATATTGCATAAGGGCCTGAAATGTGCTCCTAGACCTCCAACAAGGAGGCTAAAATAAACAAACCCATTCAAACTTCCTAAGAAATGCAGCAAGAGCACTTAAATGCAGAGGAGCCATAACTGGGAAAGCAATCTACAATTCTCCTCATCCTCATTAGTCTGGTATTTTACAGTAAATGACCAGAATACAGAAAGGTACAGAACTAAAAGATTTCTGAAGATCATCCAGCGTTGTGTTTTCCAAGATTACACATCCATGTATACAGTAACTAGAAATCGAAGCTCTTCTCAATTTTGATTACAGTACAAATAAGGACTTCATCTAGGATTGGGGCTGGGGCTTTGAAAAATTCTTGGGAAAAACTTAAGTCTTAAGATCGGAGTTTAAACAGCATATTTCTATCTTATAAATGTTGACAATTTTTCACAATAAGAGGTAATTTTAAGAAAATGTGCTTTGTGTTTATATACCTAAGGTTTTGAAAACTTTTATTAACTAGTGTGCTTTGTATTTAATCTCTCAAGGGAGGCTAGGTAAAAGAAAGTAAGATTTTTCAACATACTACCCTTAGCATCCATGTGTCTTAATGGAAATAAAAGGATAAAAATAGATATCCACAACCTTTGTAAGGCTGATGAATTATGTCTATGGTCATGCTCATTTTCTTTCAAGAAAGTCACAAGGAAGATATTTATATACGCAAATAAAATTTGGGTTACAGAAAATCCAGATTGTAAAAGTGCAATAAATAAATGGAAAGAGAGGGAACCAAGAACACTGTGAGCACTAATTACACTAACACAAGAGAATAAATGATATCAGGGTCTGTAAACCAACTGTTCAATGAGGAATGAGGACTGTCGTGTGCGGCCCTCAGCACTGTTGGGGGATATCCAACATGGAGCCAAGGAACTGGAGGGGTTTTACAGCAGATGCTGCAAAATTGAGAGGCTACTTGACCCCCATGGGTATTGTGGTTTTCTGAGGGGCAATCTTTCAGAAATATACTTAATAAGATTCTGTGGTCTCCCTTAGTAACATCCATACACAACAAGTGCCAGCTCTTGGATCCTGACGCTTTCTCCATAAAATGGGATTCAGGCCTTGTGTGCAACCACTGAAGGCTGCGTCAAGTTGGGTCGTTTTCCAACTGCTTAAAGAATGAGTTTGGTGTAAGTTGCAAGGCAGCTTTAGCGTCTGGGCGGAGGTGCCACCTTCTTGTCCTTACAAATTATGACTAGAGAGAGATTTTACTGGCTGGTCCCAAAATAATAATGGGAGTTTTCATGGGAGCATTTGAACCATCAGAGAATCATTTCCTCAAACAAATATTACTACAGTTGAATGCATCAAAACAATATTAACTCCCTTACAGTACAACTACTTTACCATCACCAACTTTACTCTATAAATGGCAAGAATCGAGAGTAAGCAGGTTTCAGAGAAAACTTACCTTCCATGTGGCTGCATTGCGCCGGAAGTACGCAAACATTCGTGTGAACCAGTTATAAATTTCATTTAGTGTTAGTTGCTTTTCTGGAGATTCGAGAATGGCCTGTGAAGCAAAGAGCCACAGAAGAAAGAACCTTATGACCAAACCTGCCAAACTGTATTTATACAGTTTCTTGAAAATATAAAATCACAGGAATTCAGAGAAATCCTAAGAAAGGTTTCACAGAATGATCTCAGATTAATGGCTGTATTTAAGAGTTCAATAGCAAAATTCAAAATGGAATTATCTAATTGTTTTGAGTTTTTATTTCTGTTTCCGCACAGAAATATTAATTTATTAGTCATTCGCAAAGCAGAATCAAAGAGAAATGCAAAACATTTCACTAGCTGATTAAAGCTCAGTAATTATTTAGAGCTCAGATTAATTCTAGGGATCAGAGATTACTGTAGCTTGTGATAATTGACTTGCCATCTTTAAATAGGCTCATTTTCACTGTTGTGTGAAATGAATTTCCTAATAATCACATCGTATTGTAATACTTAATCAAAAGCAATTATGTTATATATTGCAGTTTTTAAAAACCTTATAGAAAAGGTTTGAGCACGCCTGCAAACTGAATGGTTTCAAATCTACTTCATCAATTTAGCACATCATGTATATGCACACCTTTTGATATAATTTACTTACCTGCCTAATTAAAGATGCATATGTAAATGGTGGTCTAACTTCAGCATTCTTATAAAACTCTTGGTTCTGCGCAATATCTGCTAAATAAGAATCATTGTCCTGTTAATATCACTTTTTAAAAAGAGGCTGGCCTCCCAAGAATTGGATATATTGCAAGTCTGTGTGAGGCAAACTTCAAGTACCTACCCGAGGAAATGGGCACATTGTATTTGTCTGAGTACCGCCTGCGGATGGGTCCCACTGTGTGCATGCTGGTGGTGGTGATGACAGAGGGGCCTTGGGTGACAGGAGTGATGGGGGTGGTGGGGGTCGTTGGAGTATGAGGTAAGCTCTGTGGAGAGGCCTCCGAGGCAGACTTGGAGAGCGTGACGCTTGATACCAGGTTCAGCTGTAGGAAAGAGAATCGTGACGTCTCAGGTCACTTCGGAGAAACAGATCAACCTAAAAGGCTAGCTTAATTGCCAGCAGTAGAGCCGTTTCTCCCCCACAGTTGCTGTCAGGCCAACTCATGGCAGCCCTGTGGGTGGTCAGTAGACCTCTGCTCCATCACAGGGTTTTCAGTGGCTGATTTATCAGATGTAGATGGCCAGGCTTCCCTCTGGAGGCACTTCTTTGTGGACCTGAAGCTCCTCCAATCTTCTAGTCGAGTAGTCAACCATGCTAACAACTGTTGGCCCCACCCAAGGCCTCAGAAATGGCTGCAATCAAGTGAAATACAAATAAGAGAGATGAGCTCCCAAGGGAGAATAATACACTTTGTTTCCAGAACGAAATGCACTATTCTCCCTGCCTTTGCGTGACTGACACGGGTGCTTCCAAAGTAGGTACTGACGGGAACAAAATGAGGTTACCTGGCCAAATGAGTTAGAATATTCGGAGTAAAAACAAAGTTCTCTAATCGCAATTTTCTCACCGCCTTCAATAGCCTAAATAGCCTTAACAACCTCAAAGGGGGAGCTGGGCTCCTGGTAGCACTGGAAACATCAGCTGGAATGCACTGGTGTCCACCTGAGCTGTCCCCCACAATGACGTGGTAGTTCGACTGAACAACAGCTTTTAGTTCACTTCTGTTTCATCTGATAGGCCCCGTTCTGAGTGGCTCCCCCAGCACAGGGATAGGTTCCCAATGCCCTAATACAACGTCAGTGTCAGAAGTAGGGACGCCGATCTGGTAAAAAGGCACTGGTTTCCATCCGTTGGCCGAGACTAAGCTTTCAGAGCTCTCTGGGTAACCTTCATTCAATTCTATCGAAGAGGAGATTGGAATGTATCAATGTAGGAATCTGGCACACGAGAGCTCTGAAACGATAGGATGTTTTTCCCCGTGAAACATCTGGTGGGGAAGCGACAGTATGTACCTGAAGGAGAAAGGAAAGTGAGACCGCTGCTTGACTCCAGCCGCCAGCCAGCTCTCTCTCCCCTTCTTGCTTTGAAGTTGTATTCGCATAAATAGATTTGTCCTCATTTGCAAAAATGGCTGGTACAGAACTACTATTTTACGTCTGAATGTGTCAAAGAACTCGGTTGTTTACAACTTACACCCAAATTGCTCTATCAGTTACACAGAGCCGTGTCAAGATCTAAGAAAACTTCCCAAAAGTCTGCCTTGTGGTTGTGCTTGGTGACATTTTTTCAAACCTGATTGCGAATGACTGTAGCACAATAAATCCATTTCACGATTACTCCCATCATGAGAGTAAGGCATTATTTAGGGAAATTATTAAGGATGAGATTGCCCTCTGATCATAATCAAAGAACGTATTCAAAGAGAGCTCCAATTTGTTGAGAAGAATCACCTGTACTCACACTCTTACAGAATCTTCACTCTGTTTAGGGCAGCTCCCTAACAAGAACATGGAGGGGTTGTGAAGAAGCGGAGGATACTGCTATGAGGGAAATGTTAAGCATGGGGCTGGAAACTGGCATGTAGGGAGGAGAGCTGTCAGTTCAGTCTTCTCAGCTTGAAATATCGGTTTACCAGAGAAGAGAGAGCTAGGGAAAGAGCATGGCTCGCACAAATCTCCTTTCAGGAGACGTTTGGGGGCTGCTTCCTCAACAATAGCAGAGAATCGACATCATGGTGCACATTTGCAAACCAAGTATGAAGTCAGGGCTGGCAGCCGTGGAAGGAAGCCAAGTTGAGAAGCCAAGGGCAAAGGAGCGGGGCTCACCTCTCCTTTGCCTTGGATGTTAGGGTCTTAATCACTGACCAAGTTCAGAGCCAGTACGTCCAAGTGTCAGCCCAAGCCAAGGGTCAAGGAAATTAAGTGTATGGAAGGCTAATATAATGCTCGGCTCACAAATAAACAGCTTTACATGATGACTCAGCTAAGAACATCCAAATGCTTTGGAGAGTCATGAATGACATTTGTAAACATCATGTTCTAAGCCTGCTGCCTCTGTGAGGCTTCAATTAATTCTCTTGCCACCACTTATAATTATGATTTTTACTTAATTATTTTTCATATTTATTACTTTGCAGATATTTTACCAAGGCATTCAATAACCTTCCCATACTCAGATCCCAAACCCACCATCATACACAGGCTTGTGTGATTCAAAAACCTTTGTAGCATCTTCTTGGGTGCAGGGGATAGAAAAATCAAACCGGTTCATTTCCTGCAAGCTCATTTTTTGGACAGGCTTCGATGAAGTGCTCTTATTCATATGGCGGTGAGTCAGTCAATAGCTATTGATCACACATAAGGTGTGGGGCACTGTGGTGAGGAACGGAATGAAAGTCCACAACTGCTCCCCTTGAAGAGCTAACCACTGAAGAGACCGCTGGGCCCAGCAGCCAACAGCCGGGAAGCGCTCGACTCTGGGGCTTCGCTTTTTACTCTATCCTAAAAGGGAGGCTGGCTTTCTTCAAAGTCAAATGAGCATCACGCTAGAGAACAAGTGTCCTTAAGAAAAGGGCATGTTAATTTCAGTTTTTGCGAGGAAGAAGTCACAAAGACCACTGTGTTTTTAATTCCATGGCCACAAATCGAAACTCAAGCACAGCTTCCACATGGCAAGGCCCCCTTTCGGGGCACTCTCCTGGAAGAACAGAAGCCAAGAGGCACGCCGGCATCAACACGAACCACCGCGGCACTTGAGCGTTTTCTGCCCAAAGCAGCCATGGTGAAAAGAAAATCCCAGCAGGTTGGCATGACTCACGATAAATGGGAACAAGGTAAGATTTCCGGAAGCTTCTGAACACAGGTAGCAACTGGAAGTAAAATACTGAGCCCAAGGAAAGCAGAGAGGGGGCTTATCAGGCTTGACAAATGACGCCATGATTCACACCCACTGCTGGGCTCCCTCTAATAAGCCACAGAGGAAGCAGCCAATCTCAGCTAATTACCAGATAAAAATGTATTGTAAGGACTCTAATTAGGAGACGCGTATGGAGGTGATCTAATGATTAAATGCTGCGTTTGAGTGAACCCCCCCATCAATGTGCAGTGGTGCAAGATGTCACTGGGATATTTTGTAGAAACAGTAATTTTATTTCAAGGAGGAGAGGCAGTAATATTTGTAATGATGGCTATGAGGTAAACTAATTAAAAGACAGTTCTTCTAGAGGAAGAGTGTGGCTGGGAACAGCTGTGGCCATTCCAAAACAAGTGCCAAGTCTCAATAGAGGAGTGGCAGTCAAGTGGAAAATTTCTGCCTGACCTCTGCCCTCGCTATTAATTTGCAGGAAAACTAATGACACATATACATATTCCCACAAAATTGTTCTAATTGCTAATTTGCAGAAGGAGCCCAGATTCCAAATTAAACCTGACTGCAGTCTGCGAGGAAAGGCAGAACAAAAAGCTGTAAACTCCAAGCGGAGGGGCTTTGCCTCCTGGAATCATTTGAAGGCTGAACCAACAAGTTGAATGAAATGTCCCCCTTGTCAAATGCTTTGAGAGCTCCCTAACTTTTACATGTTTGTTTGAGAATCACATGCTTGTCTTAGGAGAAGCCATCTACAAGGGGGAAGGTCAAACGGAGATGGAGGAGGGGCTGGGGGAGGATACGGAATGGGCTCTTTGCTGAAACTAAACCTGTTTGTTTAATTAAGAGCTCTCTCGAGGGGAGTGGGGGGGGACCCCTCCAAAATTAATTACAGACTAAGCACATGAGAGCAGACCAGGAACAATGTGGATTTGGCCATCGTCTTGAAATACTCATCTCAGTTGTAAACTATTAGATCTTAGGATAATCATCGATTAGAAATGAAAGCACATGCGCTTCGAATTTCTGATTGTGGTTAAGTTTAAAGACACTTTTCCCCCCTTTCCGGGGCACGGAGCAGGAAGGGGTTGGGCTGGGAGGGTGGCTTTTCCTGCTGGAAAGCCTATTTTTCTTATTGTGCTCATTTTCTATTTAAAAGAAGTTGCTATGTTTAGAGAAGTTAGTAACACTGGTATTTTCTCCATGGCAGGTTTCCATTATGGGAAGATTTCGGCAGAAGATAATCTCTCTTTGAAACCCCAAAGTGGAATTCTTATGTCACTTCCATGTGCTGAACCATTTTATGAAGGGGAAACGTGTGTGCGTGTGTCTTTGAGTGTTGCCCCTTTCCTCACTTCAGAAGGACAGCACAGAGGCTAGTTCCCAAAACGCTCCCCACGCCAACCCTTAGAATTGTGTCCTGGCTCATCCTTTCCCCACCACCACCACCACCACCAGCACCACAAGGAACTGTGGTTTCTGAGTGGTGACCTCCTCTCCCTTTTCCAGAGGATGAGTCACTCACATTAAAAAGTAAATAAATAAACCGCTGATGCAAACCCCAGACAGACACAGACTTGTTGCAAGTGTTCCCATAAGAACTCGTTTTTGTTTTTGTTTGTGCTCTTGCATCACATGAAAACAGAATCTGAGAACAAAAGGCAAACTTGAAACCCAAACCCCAAGGGACACACACAGGGCCTTTCCAGCCTGACAGAACTCGTTTTTCTGCTGTTGGGTGTATTGGCCTGAGCAGGGCTGGAGACGTGCTTCAACTGCATGGCGTTTCTAGACATGAATCACTGGCGTTGAGAGGCCAAGGGGACATTACCAGACTGGGGAGGGCAGGACAGTGGGTGGTGGCGGGAGGCTTTTGTTACGAGCCTCGGCCTCCCTGGCAGTCTCAGCCCAGCCTTGTGACTGAATTTAGAGGTAGGTGCTGCCAGAAGTCAATGGCCTAGAAGGTGGTGTTATTGGCAGTGCTACTGAAAAAGGGGCAAAAAAAAGACGATGCCAGAGTTGAAGAGGGAGGCTTAAGGAAAACAGTATATGAAAATGGCTTTCTTTGGGTGGTGTACCTGAATCCTTTTTATGACCACCTAGTATTATTTATGCCAACTCTGAGGCAAGGCCACAGCACCCCAAATGATCATTCCTTACTTTAATTAAGACCCCCTT